TTTGAAGTGAGCAAAGGTGTGGATGTTGGGGTTAGTGATTCCATTTGATCATTCAAGTAAACAGTACTTCTTTCTTTACCAATTTGACTAAGATATGATGCAAACTGATATCCATGCATAGTAGCTGGCTGTTGATCGTACCCATTGGAAGATGGTGGAATGCGCACACTAGAATAGCGCCTCTCACCAGCCTCGGTAGCATTGCAGCTGGAATTTTGCACATATGCATTTAACAACTGCATGTGGTTTGAAAAAGAAGANAAGATGGTGGAATGCGCACACTAGAATAGCGCCTCTCACCAGCCTCGGTAGCATTGCGGCTGGAATTTTGCACATATGCATTTAACAACTGCATGTGGTTTGAAAAAGAAGGTGAACCCCTTTGAGCCCCATAAGATGATTTGGGAGAGTCATATAAACTTGAATTAGATCCTCTTCCACCATCAGATGGAAAATATCCAGAATATTCCTTCCCACTATTGTCCACTTTCAGTGATCCATAGGCAGATTTTAAATCTACCTTCGAATCTACCCCCAGTAACACATCCAGTTTCTTAGCCCTTGCTTCTTTTGTGGCTTGCCCATGAAAGTCAAACAGCTGTCCCCAAAACTCATCAAGAACTATAGTCAATTGCCGTCTTGCAGCACGGCCCAATCCAGCTAGTCTTGAAAGACTTCCAGTGCCACTCCCTACATCATCACTTTTTCCACTAAGATTCCTAAATGATCCAGGACCCTCGGATGTCAAAGGGATGCTCCCAGACACTCCTTTACAGGATTCTTCAGGCTCCCAAGTATCTCCCTCCTCATCTTTCTCAGTTTGTTCATACCCCTCAATTCCGAGAGTCTTTTCTTTCAAGTCTATTGATCTAGTATTCGAGTTACTGACATCCAGCAATTCCCCTTCAGAAACATCATTACTAATAGTTGATGCTATGACAGTTTCTACTGTGGTTGTCGATTCCTCTGTGGGGCGTAAAGAAGGACTGGAATATGTATTACCAGAATGCTTCTCCTCAAAAGTAGCCAAATGTGGCACAGTATCAGCATCCAAGAGTGTATCGGGCAGATTGAGATCAGGACTTGAAGTCAATGTGCATTCTTGCCTTTCGGTGGATTCACCTGAATGATATCTAGTTTCACTAATATCATATTTGTTTCTCTCTGCAGATGATTCAAGCACAGGTGTTTGCATTTCCCAGTTGCATGTCTGGGTTTCTAATCTGGAACTTGCAGATTTTAATGGGGTCGTTGCTAGCCAAAGCATCAAACAGAAAGATACAGAAGCAATGACAAGAAGAACGATGTAACAGATAGATGTACTATTGCCCATGCTCCACCTCAAATTACTTGCCCAATCAGTATTTCCAAATATCATCTCTATCACAAATATAATCTTTAGGCCAAGCATTCCAATAAAAATGGTCACTGCTAGGAACTCCACAAACTGAGAAACTTTGTGCACGCCCATTATTGACCTTGATGAGGCAACTCGGAAAAGGGGAATCACAGAAGATGGAAGCACAAGAGCAACCACAACCTGTGTAATTATAAGCAGTTGATATATACCTTCAGCTCCTGAATTCCACACAGTATAAAGTGCAGAAACAATAGCAATTATCCTGATTGTTGTCTGATAAAGCCAACCGGGAATGTCCATTCTGAACAAATCATGTATGACCACTTGTCCACCTAGATTCCAGGTTAACATGGTGATTTGATTCGACAAAAACATAATCAGCATTAAGGCAAAAGGTGCAAACGAACTCCTAAAGACCTGTTATTTATTTTTTTGGAAGAAAAGTAATACGGTTAGTGTGAATCGAATGTATGAAAAACAAAAAATCTCATGGAACCCACATGTTAAGAATGCTCTTATGGAAAATTACTTATGAAACCCCGACCTGATCCATTAGGGAAATAGCATCCTGAAAAGTAAGCAATACAAGGCCGGTGCTATAGAACACATTAGCTCCTGATTTCATCAGCACATAATTAACAAGGAAAATGCCGCTGAAGATGCAGAGGATGGCAAAAAAATGTTCATGACACAATGATTCCTTGGAAACATTTGTTGGTCCTTGATATTGCTGCAAAATAATAGGAAAGAGCAGAAATTTCGTAAATTCAACAGATAAAAGTACCCTAACTTCTACATGAGAACAGAATAAATCTAAATTCCGAACTGTGTCCCACAGGGTATATGCATACAGTAAATCAGATTTATCATAGACTCTGAACATCTCGTACAGAAATTTTAGGATCCATAAGAATAGAAGAAATTTTAGGATCCATAAGAATAGAAGAAATTTTCTGTCCATACGTTTTGCACTCACATTTTGATTAGTATGGGTAGATGAATGAGTATTACTTATAGCTTACAAAAGCAAGAGGAGGGAGGGGTATGACTTCACTTTCCGATGAATCTAGCTTATGAGTTTTGCCTATAGTGTGAGTGGATCAAAGAGTTTTCTTATTAATACACAATGAATAAGTTTTTGAGGAATGACAAATTGGCGTGGTATTGTGCTTCAATCTCAAATGGCACCACTATCTCCTATGGTAGGAAATCATTTGACGGTTTTTGCACTTACATTCATGCACACACACAAACAGAGAGAGAGAGAGAAACCTGTACAATAGACGAATGAAGGTAAAAACTGTGAGGTATAATATTCGCTCCGAGAAGGCTCATCAATGCAAACACACTTTCACCACTTAACTTTGTTAACGTTCCACTCCCACCAATGGACATGGGAGTTTCTGGTTGACTGATGATCACTCCTAAAACATAAGAAAGTAGTATAAAGCTTGCCGCGCATATGCATAGGAACTTTGCCTTACCACTCTCCTGAAAAATGAATGATTGTGAAATCACAAGAAATGTGCTTACCACCGTATTGATATTGGAAGTGAAAGCATTAGAAATGCAAGAAAAAAGGCTTACCAGGAAGGTAGCAAAAAATGGAAACAGAACAGCTTCAACAGTAGTCAGAAGTACAGAAGTAAAGAGATCCATCCCCAGTATAAGATTAAGCCCATGAGCAGTGCCCAAAATCTACCAGAAGAAGTTCAGTTATACATTAGGAACAAAAAAGAAAAAAGTTTATTAGAAAAAGCAGCTGAATGAAAAACAAATATAATGAAATAGTGACAAGCTACCATAGTTAGGTCCAAAATAATCATGGAAATCTCAGCTTGAACTCCCAAGAATATGCATGTGACCTTGTCATACTCCTCACTGCAAATCTGTCACATCCCATGGAAAAAATACTACTGGTTACCATTTATGTAAAGCAAAAAAAAAGAGAGTGAAGCAAATAAATAAACCAGTAGTATTTCGCCAAAACACCATTTGCCATCAAGGATCCATACTGGCTGTATAACAGCCGCAGCTCATAACAATTTAAGGGCAGAGAGAGNGGGGGGGGGGGGGGGGGGGGGGGGGGGGGGGGGGGGGGGGGGGGGGGGGGGGGGGGGGGGGGGGGGGGGGGGGGGGGGGGGGGGGGGGGGGGGGGGGGGGGGGGGGGGGGGGGGGGGGGGGGGGGGGGGGGGGGGGGGGGGGGGGGGGGGGGGGGGGGGGGGGGGGGGGGGGGGGGGGGGGGGGGGGGGGGGGGGGGGGGGGGGGGGGGGGGGGGGGGGGGGGGGGGGGGGGGGGGGGGGGAAAAAAAAGAGGGGGGGGGGGGGGGGGGGGGGGGGGGGGGGAAGGGTTGTCTCAGCCACTCTATTGTAGACTTTGATGCTACTAGGATAAATAGAGAATAGGTTGCAGTTCTAGCATGCGTGATGCTTCTAGGTTATTGAACACATGATGGCCCTGTACATTTTAATATACATATTACACATATATATATATATACAAATGTATTCCAGGTTAGTGGAATGGCAAAGGGTTTCAACTCAGCTCAAATTAGCCCTGTTCCAACTATACGGGAGAGAAGAAGGGACATCCAGAAAATATTTTTTTCACATTATTTCTTTGGCACACTGAACTGGCTAATACAGATCTCCACGTTTAACACAAGCATCAGATTCATAACATAATAAGGGATACTTAAGATAGTGCTCGCATCTAGCTGCACGGAAGCTGAAAAAGCATATCACGTATCAAGTGATGGCTAAGGGCAAGCAAAGTAATAAAGCCACAAAGACCTACACCACAATTTTAGATGTTCTTACCATTGAAACAATATTATATATTAACATGCAAGAAAAATGCAGAAATCACTGAAGCCAAAACCATATGATATTCTCATTATCTTTATAAAAATTAAATGCTAACAGAAAAGAAGAAATACCTGCGCAAGATCTCTTCCAGTGACCACGGCAATACGAGCTGACAGGTATTGACATAAAATAGCAGCAAAATTGAAAACAAGCATTAGAGTTATCAAATCAAAACCAAAACGTGCTCCTCCCTCAACAGTTGCAGCCCACTTTCCTGGGTCAACATATCCTATTGCAATCAAAAGCACAGGTACAACAGCATGGTGAAGCCTCTTGTGAAAGCTTGAGTTAGTAGTTGGAGTTTCAGTGTCCATGTTAATGAGTGATTCTTCAAAGAACAAGGAATCCAGTGGGAGCCTCGGATAGTTAATTAACAGATCCAACTAACTTATGAACCTTTGAGACGCTCTCAAGCTGCTGCTATGCAGGCGTACTTTAACTTCAAATGGCAACACTCGCAGGTGATCTAGCGTGATATTAGCAATCACGATGGTTAACCATATCTGGATTTAACCACGGTAATCCAGATACCTGGCATTTTAGTTGAACATAAACAAAACATACATCCAACAACAATACAGACAAAGCAAATCTGACAGGCTTGTATGATGTACTTGCCCAGATCAAATTATTGCAGCTCACTTGACAACTGTAGACATAGCAAGATTTGAACATTAGTTGTGCTCACAATCGAGCTGCATTCATCCCAATTTCAAATTACTTTCATACGCAGATCGAATTCTTTCAATCATTTCTTCATCAGGGCCAGAGAACTAATGCATAAAGTGAAAATTTTGCTCAAAAATCAAATCTCGGGATGAAAGAGAACATAACAAATCATCTGTGATCCAGAAATAAAACTCCAAAAAAGTAGCTACTGCAGCAAAGCTTCCTTCTTGACCTGCACCATACAGCAGTAATCCTGACTTGGGAAACTTCATACAATATGCAACATTTCAAAGTATGAAAGAATAAAATCACCAGATTTGACATGTAATAAATTGATTGAAATACTAAACAGTTACAACTAGTCAACATCTATTTGGAATAAAAAATTAAATTTTCTAAAAAATATAGTTGTACAAAACACCTCATTACCCGCCCTAGGGCTGCATGGAGCATGCTCTAGATTGCAATGCTCGACACAACACCTCATGACAAGGGAACAACCCATTTTATGCACAAGTTGACGCACCCCCATTCAAAATTAGCATACAGGAGGTAGAATAACATCATCAGATTGATGATTCCACCTAAGTCTACTTACCGGGCATCACAACTTCAAGAGTTAACCAACAAGAAGTACAATTAATAAAAACGGCAAACAAGGCATTATAATAAAAAAACCCAGCAACTTTTTAGTTACAAAAATACACAGAAATACACAGGTTCAAGTATAACTATGCTCATCCAAACATACTCTTACTTTCTTTCAACCATACTTCTTAAAACACCAAGTTACCGAATACTCAGAGCAGCAACACCAGCGACAACAACATACCTACTGGGAAGAAAACAACCAACAACAACAAAAAGCAGTTTGCCATAACGACCACTACTTCAACCTAATGAAAAATGACCAGAAAAAGTCAATATACCATCAAAACGCATAAAGAACAAAAATTCCCACTGGCCCAGATCTTTACTGTGCTGCGCACAACATCATTTTAATGACCCAGAATCAAAAACCCTTATTGCAAAACCATTAGAGCAGAATCCAAAACCCCAGGAACAGAGCACAAATGACCCATGTGCAGAATACACACACACACACACACACACACAAACAACCACCATAATCTTTTTAAAAAAATGAAACTAATTGGCATCGATCTGACTGAAGCAAACGACAAAGACCAGTCCAGAAATTTCCACACGAAAAAAATACAGAAATACAGAAAATATATATAGGTATACATATAAATATCCACAAAAATATATACATGTGTTATGAAGCACAAATTTGACAAGTGTCTATAGACTATGATATTAGCCATAATTAGGGCTCGTAACAGAAATTGGTACCTTCTTTCCTCAGGAGGTCGCCTTTTCCCCGTCTGATCAGACTTTAGATCAGATGCTTTTAGGCAGCCACGCGTTGTTTCATATACTGATATAGTGAGAGAGAGAGAAGCAGATGTACCTAGCGAGNAATTAGGGCTCGTAACAGAAATTGGTACCTTCTTTCCTCAGGAGGTCGCCTTTTCCCGGTCTGATCAGACTTTAGATCAGATGCTTTTAGGCAGCCACGCGTTGTTTCATATACTGATATAGTGAGAGAGAGAAGCAGATGTACCTAGCGACAGAGAGAGAGAGAGAGAGAGTTCTGGTTTCTGAGCTGTGACTTCAGAGAGAAAAAGCTTAAAGAGAAAAGATATATATATATATATATA